TGGGTTCGGCACATCACCAACCAGGTGTCAAACTCAGAAAAGACATGCGAGGTTCCCTGCATCCTGGGAATCGAAACTCACTGTGTATGGGACCAAAAGATGATGCTTAGAACCTTCCCAAACCCGAACTACTGTATGAGGATGTTCGGAAGAGTAACAGTCCAGGGTCGTTCCGGGGAGACATACTGTACACCACCTAAAAAACAGTGGTTTCCGATGATTCCCCAACCTAAATACCTTAACAAACCTTGTGGCTTCCACGGATTTCGCCACAGCGAACCCTGTGCCAGGCGGGAACTCGCACCTTGATCATGAGCTTCACGAGGCGCAGCTGGGTGTCCACCTCGTGCCAGGAATCCTGGCCCAGCGCAGCCAAAAGGAAAATGGCGAGGCGGTTTCTCGGGCGTCCGTAAGCCAAAAGCCACGGAAAAGATTGCTTCAAAAGTGCAACCGGAATCCAGAGCTGCTTCATGCGGTGCTCCTCAAACATACGAACCCCTGTTCTTTGATGGGTTTTTGCAACGCAACATTCTGTGTTCCCTTCCACCCCCCCAAAACGCACACGCGGAAAACTTCCGGCGCTCTCCTCCTGCTCCGGGTCGCCTTCGATCTGGTTCTGACCTCCATCCCGTCTCGAAACAATTTTCATCTTCGAATCCCCCTCTCCTCTTCAGACTTTGACCACCTACAAAAAGCTATCTTGTTGCTTTGCGTACCTGAATGGTCGGTAACGGTGCCTGACGTCGTCGACAAAAAAGAAGAAAGAGTAGTGGGGGCGGAGACGGCGGCTGAGATCCCCCAAGCATCATTGAAAGATCCCATAACCAGAAACCACACGGGCTGAAAGGGAGTCTTGCAGCCTAACCCCTACCCTCGAGGACTTCTGTGCAGTTGGTTTAATGCAGCGCTGTTGTTGGGGCAGATCTGATGAACATGCTAGATGTCTTGGTTGCTGTTGACCCCTCTGCAAAAAGCTTCACTGTTTTGTGGGTCCAATGGGAAATCCACTGCCAAAGATGGGCGTGTTGTCTTAAGTTTCTATTGCATATGTGCAACCCCCGATAATTGGCCTTTATTGTGCAAAACTCGCTTTTCTTAGGTGCAGGACCTGGTCGTCGGCTCCTTGCCCTTTGGCTATGCCTGTATTTCATTTATTTGCTTTTGTCGCCTTGCTTTGTTTCCTTCTGTCCTTCCAATTCAACTCTTGTGGTCTTTCTTCTCTGCCCATGTCTAGAAGTGTCTTTCAACAAGTCGGATCTTAGGCGAGGCGCACATCTCCAGCATGGCCCGGAAATGCCCGAGGACTGCCAGCTGGTTGGGCACATTGTCCAGGCACAGCGTGCAGCCTGGGAAGCCAGCCGTTTCCGTGGCCAGCTCCCGGGAAGGACGGGTGGGAAACGGAACGCTTGGACGTAAAGGTCAGTGGTCTCTTCACTGCCCTTTTCAAGCGACTGTTGCTCACAAGCCGCCAAAGGGGTAGCCAGAAAAACTGCAATACCACATGACTGGCTCATTGCAGACAGAGACAAACAGCAACAGACAAAAATAGAGAAAGACAGACAGACAGACAGACAGACAGACAGACAGACAGACAGACAGACAGACAGACAGACAGACAGACAGACAGACAGACAGACAGACAGACAGACAGACAGACAGACAGACAGACAGACAGACAGACAGACAGACAGACAGACAGACAGACAGACAGACAGACAGACAGACAGACAGACAGACAGACAGACAGACAGACAGACAGACAGACAGACAGACAGACAGACAGACAGACAGACAGACAGACAGACAGACAGACAGACAGACAGACAGACAGACAGACAGACAGACAGACAGACAGACAGACAGACAGACAGACAGACAGACAGACAGACAGACAGACAGACAGACAGACAGACAGACAGACAGACAGACATAGACAGACAGACAGACAGACAGACAGACAGACAGACACAGACAGACAGACAGACAGGCAGGCAGGCAGGCAGGCAGACAGACAGACACAGGCAGGCAGGCAGGCAGGCAGGCAAACAGGCAGGCATGCAGGCAGACAGGCACGCACAGGCACGCAGGCAGGGACGCAGGCAAGCAAGCAAGCCAGCCAGCCAGCCAGCAAGCAAGCAAGCAAGCAAGCAAACAAACAAACAAACAAACAAAGCAAACAAACAAGCAAGCAAGCAAGCAAACAAACTAACAAACAAAGCAAACAAACAAGCAAGCAAGCAAGCAAGCAAACAAACAAAGCAAACAAACAAGCAAAGCAAAGCAAGCAAGCAAGCAAACAAACAAACAAACAAACAAGCCGGCCACACAACAGAAAACAAAACAAATCACAACACATCGCAACACAGCAGCCTCTGCTCCATCGGCACTTTTCGAGTGCGAAAACACAATTGTGCGTCAACCAGGTCATCGGGGGGCATCTGTTTTCCCAACCAGGCCCTCTCGAAACAATCTCAGCTATTGTCCCCGACTACAAATATGATAGCTTGACTCTGGTCCGTATCAGCGAAGCCCAAAATGCAAATTAAGCTTGACCCCGGATTGATAAGCCCTGCGGATTCATAGCGGACTGTTCTCCCCCCAAACCAAATAAAGAGGTGGCGTAAAAAAGTAAGTGAAGTGCATGGGACACCCTAGATCTCAACCAGGGTCAACCGAAAGAAAAAATCAGCTCAGGCGATATCCCCAACAGCATGCGGTGCTCTTTTTTGTGCTTGGGCCCGACCGCAGCCCGGGAAGCAAACCACCGATTCAAGCACCAATCTCCAAACTACCAATCCAATCCACCGCCGCGGGTTTTGCTCTTGTGGATCCCTTGCGGAACCCGTGTGGAACATTGTGGAACCTTACCTCAGAACCCTCGTGGAACTCTCGTGGAACCCTACTTCAGGGTTCGGTGGAACCCTGGTGGAAGCCCTCCGCGAACGGTGCGGCAAGCCCTGCCTGCGGTGAGCCCGTAGGCGCTGATCTGGACGGTCGCGTCCATAAACTCATCCATGAGCCCAGCCTTCGGAAGGAGAGGCCATGCCAGCCGCTCAGACTGGAAACTCACTTGCAAGTTGGCAACCTGTTCAACGTGGTGCTCTTTGGACCACCCGAAAGCGGAGAAATAGCGTCTGACCGCGGAAAGCCATCGCCTTCAAGCTTAAAAGAGAGCTGCTGACAGATGCCATTGAGACAAGGTTGGACCCATTTGGACCCGGGGTTCCCACCCAAAAAGAGAAATTTCTGTGCATGTTGTTTGAGCCCGAGAATCAACGGCGCGAACCTTGCAAACTTCCCCCCCACCGCGGGGTCACACCATGTTGAAAGGCCTTTCAAGGCCTTGAAACTAGCCATGGTGAGCCATTGAGCATGGGCCATACTTCAGGCCAAAGAACGCACAAAGAGATCTCGTCGCAGGGCATCCCCAAGAGTGCGCTCGCCAACTGTTCAAACATCTACCCTCCCTCCTCACTAACGCGGGTATATACCTGGAAGTTCCCTCTTGGAGGGATCCGGATCCCCTGTCAGGTGCCGCTTTTCTGGGAGGGTAGGGTAGCCGCACCTTTCGAAGCATCCCCGGGTGCGCATCGCGTCTCTCGCGCATGTCGCAACTCCCGCGCCTCCACAGCTCGGAGCTGTCCGCGCGAATCCCCCGGATCTGTACCCAAAACCGGCTGCCGGAACGGCGAAGCCGTCAAGCGCCCAAAGGCCCCCCAGTCCGCGCCAGAAAAACAAGGCTTGTGGAGTCCGTACCGAGTGAGCTTCAATCAAATGTCAAAAGAGTCCGTATGGGGGTGGATTTGGAAAAACTCGAGTTGTTGTGAGTGGCCACGGGGAATGATCGCCATAAGGACAGGAGTGGCCATGTGCGAGAATCCCACCAACTGTCACGACCATGGAACTGCGTGACCAAATGGGTGTGTCTTTCAGATCCCCCCCTGTGGATACCTGATTTCCTCATGGCTTCCCGTGGAATCTTCACCGCCCTTTGAGGGGCCGACCGACCCATGTTGAAGCACGCATACGGCAGGTTACGCCATGAAAACTGCTAAACAAAAAGCACGCCCCAACATGGGAACCCGAGCCCCTCTTTCTGTATTGAAAGTATAGTTCCGCTCCAAAGCACAGGGCTTCCCCGAAAAAAACTGCCAAAAATCAGGGTTGTAGGTTCCCCGAAAGCAGGCAGACAGCCTGAGATCATAAACCTATTTACTGGCCACATGCCAGCTTGCTCCGTCGCAACAGCGCGTCCAGTTGGGTGAAAGTGGATAGCACAATGCTGGTTTAGTCATCCCCTACCCACAGAAAAGGAATCGTGCCATCTACTTTCTCCCTGGTGTAAGTGAGAACCAGGGTTGCATGTCTTTCAACCGCTGCACTTCACCGTGGTTCTAATCTGTACCCATGTTGGACAGTCAAGTTGGACCCCCCAGAGCCGAGTCCATTTTCGCCAAGACGCAAAGAAGCTCAAAGGGGAGATATCCGCACCTAATCATAGGGGACCTCAAAGTGTGTTTCTGTTGGTTTCCCTTTCAGCCAACCTGAAAAAGGCACGCTCAATCAAACAAAAACAAACCCAAGATAATAATTGGAGTAGGATTGCAGAGTGCCTCAAAGCCAAAAACAACAGGACACCGCACCACTCAACAGGACAGCCGCACCCCGCCAAAGGAGCCGGCTTTGTTGCCCTGGCACAGCGAGGCCGGAAAACAAGGAACTCATAACTCATGTAGGGTGTGTCTCAAAACAAGCCCCGGAACATCGTTGGCTTCCTCGGAGCAGGCTAAAGGATCTCGGAACTCATCCATTTGGGGCCAATATGTGTGAAGACCAGCTAAGGCGGGGGGGGATATCGAAAAAGGGAAAGTGGAAATGGATTGTTTTAAATACCCCATGACTTGCAGAAATGGGAAGTTTGAGCGGTATGTGTGAACACTGGGATCCCTGGTGGATTTCAACGCTGTCCCGTTTTTGACCAATGACGAAAGTCTGTCAGTCCGGCTCGCCTGTTGCCAACCCGTCGAAGAGCATCGGCTCAAGGGGTGGCCCCAAACCCGGAAAAACCTGGAAGCTAGTCCGAAACACCAATTCAAGGGAATGGAAGGCGGAAGACAGCAGATCCCCGTGTTGGCCAGAAGCTGGAAAACAAGGACCCATAGCCTCTTTGTCCACTTCGAAAATAGCTAACATTGTTTCCAATAAGGGTCCCAGCTGTTCAGCATCCCCCAGCATCTCCAACATTCCCAGCATCCGCAGCAACCACGTGATGCCACTCACCTCCAGCATCTTCAACATTCTTAGCATCCCCAACATCCCCCTAGTGACATGAGATCATACGAGACCTCCTTCGCTGGAGGATCGGAGGTAGCAAGGGGAAATGAGAATCCACAAACTAAAAACAAACATGTGCTGACACCAAACTCTCCTCGGTACCCTTGTTAAAATTGAAGTCCACAACAACCAGGGTCTCCAAAAGGATTCCGGTTTTGGCAACCCATATGCTAACACGAAGTTCAAACCCCGCCGCGCAAATGTCCGCGTAGCCGCTGGAGACGCCAGAATGGCTGGAGACAGCTTTTTCGCCTCAGCAACCAAATGTTCGAACTGCCGAGTTTGGGGGGGAGCTTCAAACGTGGGGTGGCCCTAAGTGTTACGGAAAAAGCATCTCACCCTCCCAACCCAGGGAAGGAACAAGCTGGATGTTCTTTGCAGCCCGCAAAGAATGAACAGAGCCAAAGAAGCAGAAGGCAAAAACAAAAACAACTTACCAAGAAACGCAACGAAAAAAGGTGTTCTCCCTTGTTTTGCAGGTTGTGCGCACGGGATAGGCGGACCAGAAGTTGGTTTGATTACTCCCCCTGGGCAAACAGCCCACAGAAAGGGAAGTATCACAGGGTAGACGAAGTAGCCAGCATCACAACCTTTCTGGGGCCAGATACGTGGATGTTCGACCTACTTGATATGTAGCTCCTATCCATGGTCATAGAGGGACAACAGGACCTGGTCCATCTATGACTTTCACCCGCTTAAGCGGAACGAACATCCAAAACATTCTACTGGGCAGAACGACGCAACAAGTATGCTCATGGCCCCAAGAATTGTTTCTCCGAAATTGTTGCTATTGGCAATTCCTGCACATCCGTTTCCAATGGCTTCGGTGCGGTGATGCCAACTGCATCTCTCACAAATCCCGCGGTTCCTGTGCTTGGCGTGCCCCGTCTGCAACGCGAGCCCATGGTAAACTCGCCGTACCCGCGAACCGGTGCGCTGGAGTCACTTTCCGAACAAAAAGTTTGGACTTTTTGTGGCAAATCCACTCAAGTGAGTCTTGGATCGCATGTTGGGGCAGAATGCCTTGCTCAAAACACCCAAGGATGACGGTTCCCCAATCTTGCAGACGTCAAAGTTGACACTTTGCGCTCATTCTAAGGCCCTATGAGAAGCACAACTAATCATACGCCTATGCTTCTTTCTTGGGGGAAGGCCCCCAAATATGGCGTGCATATGAACGCCGTTGACGAAGGCGCGTGTCTTGTTTGTTGCCCGCATTGCTCTTGCGGTTCTTTTGAGCCTCGGAAAGCGGCGGACAGCACGCGGCGTTTACAATCAATTCCCCTTGTTCCCTTGGCAACATTTGGGGTAAGGTGACGGAAAAAGAGGTGGGTTTCCCTGGTAAATGGGGCACAAATTCATCTCAACCAGTGGAACACATCTATGTTCAGCTTCCCCCTCTGATTCGCGGTCTGGATTGGTGGTTTGGTGGCTAAGGAGTGGGTGCGCTTTTACCCTCTACAAGAACTAGGGGTTCAAATCTAAATCCAAACCAATCCAAACCACTTAAGGGCCACATGATACTGGTGTCCCGGGGGCATCCACCCTGCCGAGGACCGCGCTGCCCCGAGGTCCCGAGGCCCCAGGCCCTTCTTGCCGCTCATGATCCCGGAGAGCGCGTTGCCGGCGCCGCCCACCACCATACCCGCCGCGTCCTCGCCCCCGGCTCGAGCAGCCCCAAACCCGGGAAACCAAATCCATAGCTTTCAGCTGTTGGAACAAATTTCAACTCTTGGCACGGGAACAGAACTAAAAAAAGTTTTGCAACCCACTAAAAATGAATAGAACCGAAAAACTGAGAGGGTGTCTCAAGCCCCCTAAAATGGTAGGTGTCCTTTTGGGCTTCCCTGCAATGCCAATCAAAGTCAAACTGACTGACAAACATTTGGGGGTTTACAGGGAAATCCAATCAAATATGGGAAATGGACCTTTGGAGCACATCATGTGGTTAGGTATGTTCACCAATCAATTTTAAGGGGCTCCAATTAAAATTTCATGGCCACTTGGAAGCATGTGTCTGGCAAACCAGCTTGGTCTTAGGAAGCCCGTGTCCATTAAACTCTGGTTTTGAGTACTGGAATAAACCGCCTGCCAGCCGGCGCAAAATAGCTTTTGTGGGTTCCATGTGGAGCACAAGCCGAACAACAAAAAACAAATGCCAGGCTTCATGTGAGCCGTACCATCTTGGCAATATACAGTGTCCACATTCAGCACTGGCGCGTGCAACCAGTTGCTGGCCGTGGGCAATTTGAGTGAGGCCATGGAGCCCTTTAAAGGGGAAGCTAAATGAGGATGTTTAAACATTTACATACTGCTTAAACGTGCTTTAGCCGGTTGTGCTTCTTGTGGATTCTATAAGTGGCCGCTGGTTCGTCTTTCTATGCCCAAAACGTCTGTACTGAGATGGTTCATTCGGGTTTGTGTAGGCATAAGGAGAAGCTATGGCCTTTCGGGTGCGACCTGGCGGACTTTTTTTGGGATAGCGACCAGGTGAATATGTGTCATGTCATGGTGCAGTCCGAATGTTGACCAGGGCTCGACATCATGGTTAACTTTTGCGCGTAAACGCGCTGGTCTTGAGGCAACCCGAACATGGCGGTCTTCCTTCTGGTTTGCCAAGGTGAAAAGAGTAACACAACAAACACGCACGCGCACACAACATTTGTTGTGGGCAGGGGGGGGAGAAGCAGAACCCGCGAATGTCAGACCGGTTTTGAGCCGCTCAAACGGGTGTGGAACATCCTTACCCCATGCAATACCATGGAAAGCGTCCGGCGTCTTGGCACCTCAAAGTTCCCTTGAGAAGTCCTTTCTCAGATCCAAAAGGCGCGGCTTTGATTCATGGAAGCGGACTCCAAGAGTCGCCTGCTCCTTGGCACATGGAAAACGCCTGCTATATGTCTTACCATCTCTTCTGCAAGGAAAAAGGCGTGAGCAAACGTGATGCTACACAGGGTTTTCACACACTGAGGGGGAAACATTTTGAGGTCTGATTGGCTTCAAACGTAATTTGCGGAACTCTTCAAAGCGTGCAAGTGACTTGGCGAGAACTTCCATTTGCCCCTTAACAGCTCCGAAAACGTTTCTCCCTTAGACCTCACCCGCAGAAACTCAGCAAGTGGCCACCAAAAGCCAAAAGCCGTTGTTTTAACGAGCGAAGGGAAACGTGAGTCTGTGACTCTGTCTTTTTTCCGGCCCACTTTGGGGGTCGTGTGAACCAACCCGAAAAGGGTTCAACCAAAAAAATTCTCGCAGCGGCTGAGAGCCCAACAAAATTCCTTTGGATTCCAACTCGCGTTCCTTAGAGAGCCTCACGGACCTTGGACCCCTTCTCCCGTCTCCCGGACCTCCACGGCATCCCCCAGGGTGCGCATCATGCCCTGCTCGCGCACGGACTTCACGGTGGCCTGAGGTGAGCGGCTCGGATTTTGCGCCTCGAAGGAAAAACGAAGCCATGGCCCCAAAGAAAAGCCATCATTATTTGGGACAGGGGGTGGGACCCGATTTTTTCCCCTTGGCTCAAAGGCGTGGGGGTGATGTGTCAATGTTTCGCCTTGGCTTCAAGGGAAACGAGAAGAAAACCGAAGACAGTTTGGGTGGGTGTCTTTCATTGTTCACATGGGATGATCATTGGGAAACAACGACAGCTAGCGAAAAGATGCCATTTTGGTCTGCTTTTTCTCAAAAATCAGGGACCCCAATCAAACATTGTGGTTCGCGTAAATGTCCTAGCAAAAACGAGGGCTCGTCCCAGCTTTGTGTGCAATGTCCCTCCCAAATTGAGCATAGACTCCTGGATACTGTGACGAACCAAAGATGGGTGATTCTCAAGAGGGGGATCCCTCCAGCCTCGAAAACCAAAACAAGGCCTCCAAGTTTGAGACAGTCGCGGGCAAAATAATCTATCTGATTTCAGCGGGCGCGTGTCACTTTCGTCTAGCCGATCTACACTGATGCCTTTTTTGTGGCTGCTTTCCAAGGTAATTCGAAGACGCATCCCCAGCGGCCAGCGATTCCGGGTCTATCCGATCCGTTTGGGGTGGTGAGGCAGGTTCCGGGAAGGTCCGCAAAGCAAACTCACCCATTCTGGGAGTTCCGCTGGAGACCAAATTCATAAACTGAACCCACCACATCCCACGAAACCCGAAAGGCGATTTTCTAGGGTGAAACCGCCTTGATCTCACAAACCTTCTTCTTCTCACATTCCTTTTGCTGGAGTATGGTTATCCTGTATGTTTATCATATTCCCAACCACCTCCATATGGTTATTCCTTATGCGTTCTCACATTTGCCATTAAATTTGAAGACCAACGCAACGGCGTGGAAAACCCCCTGCCTGCACGTCATCCGCGATGACGTCGATGGCGCCAGCCAAGGCCTCAAGTACGCCAGGAAGTCTTTTGGAGGACCTCCAAAAACAGACGGCAGGAAAAACATGGCAACTTCTTGGTGCCATCTGGCTGTGGGTCAAACATAGGTACCACAAATGGCTTGCCCGAGTAAGTGGAAACATGGACCAAAACCTGCGGTCCATATCCTGGTGGTTGAATTTTGACCCATACCCATCTGAATATTTTGAGAGAAATGTCCATGGCACAGGGTTCTTAATTCTGAGGGTAGTTTGGCCAACTGAACCACGGATTTGGAGGGGGTCCAAAAACCAAGAAGCATCTGCCAAAGTTCATCTGGGCTCCTCCCGGAAACGTGCCGGAAACTCCCTGAAACACCCTACAAAGGCTGGGGTTGTGGGTTCTCCTGATGGCTGCCAAAGAATGATTCCTTTGCAGCTGCTCCCACGCTATCCTACCGGTCAAGATTCTCCAATGCAGACCCCCCTTGCGGTTTTCTCAAGGGACGTTGAAGCTAATCTTCAAAGAACAATCCCACAAAACCACAATGACCCTTGGAGAATGAGTCCACCAAGTGGCGAATTCTGATCCATGCACTTCTCCCGTTCACCACCCAGACACGTCTTTGAAAAAGCTGTCCTGCGGCTTGCAACTGCTCCGAGGCAGTCAACTAAGACCATGGTTGGTATCCACAGCACCAACCCCCCTTCCGGAACCCCAGTCGGGGGGAAAGAAAGCCCACAGAGTCCATTTTCCTGCGAGAACCGCTCCAAGCCCAGGATCGGCCGCGCACTCCAAAGGCAAAAACAATCCGCGGTTTCAGGGGCCAACGTCTAACCACCCACCCAACCCAGCGAGTCGCGACCCGCGAGCCGAAGGCCGAAGGCGGGCGCCTTGTCAATGGAACTCAGCATTCCCTAACCGCCCCGCGCCTTGCGCCGGCACCTCGCGCTGCACGGCCCCAACAGGTCTCTTTGAGACCGGTTTGGCCATTTGGAGAACACCCTTTGTGGTTCGGCTTGCCAAATGGTAGGGCCACCCCAAAAGTGGGTTGGCGTCCGGCGTCCGTTTGCTTTTATTAAACAGCCTAAAAAGGGAGCCTCAAAATTGGGAGCCGTCTGTCCAGAGACTGGCTTCCATTGAATCCACGTCGGTGGCAGGCGAACACATTCCGGAGGTAGGGTTTATGTCGTTCGGGGTTTGAGGTTGACGCACCAAAGTCTGCGTTTAAAAGCAAACATTCCTTGCCCTCTGAAAACAGCAGACCCGACTGCCGCACTTGGGTCCTGAGATCCCAAACGCCCTAGCCACGAGAGGCCATTGCTAGCATCTCAAACAGCTTCCCAGCCCAAAGGAAACTCGCAGGGCCAGCTGTTAGCTAAGCCAAGGAAATTAAGGAGCCCTGTCCAAAGCAAAAAGTCTCAACGAACAAGGCAGCAACGCGGAACGGCTCTTGTCCGAATGGACGGAGGGTATCAACAGTATCAACCCATAGAAATCCGGAACCGAACACACCTGCCCTTTCAGTGGCTCACGCCGCTTTCTTGGCCTCAAACGCTGCCCCTGCCTCGACGGAGAAAAGGTACTCGTTGGAAAAGGCCAAAACTGCTGGGCGAGCCGGATCAGCGGATCGGAGCAGGGCGAAACAGGTCTTGCCACAGTCCAACGCTCCATTTGGGTGTCTTTTTTGGGAGAAGTCCCCAAATACCGTGGGTTTCCTGTTGGTTTCCCTTCAAAACCATCCAAGAAGGGATACCTTCAAAAAAAAAAGGACCACTTGCTGCTTATCCCAAAGTAGGCTTTAAACCCAAGGTCGGCTTGAGCGGGACCAGCACAAGCAACATCATGCCCCACTGTGCCAGGCCCTTGAAAGACAGTACATGTACAGGTGCACAGGTGCATGTGAAGCTTTGGACCCGAAGCTAGCCATCATAGAGCGGAATACGTCAGGTCTCGAGCGGTCTGTTTTGACACGGCATACAGTCCTGTATCCCCAATGTGTGTGTTCATGCGATGCAAGCTGCAAAGCTTGTGGCTTTCGTTTGCCGCAGTTGGAAGGGAGGCATGCGGGGGTTGATCAATATTCCTAGCCCCAAATGAACACCCACAACTGTTTCCATTTAGTGGGAACTATGTGTATATATATATAACCTTAATGGCTTTCCAGCCAATGATCATCCCATGTAAAGGACCTTTGGCTCAACAATGGGAATCATGGTAATGGTTAAGGAAGCTTACTACGATTGCCACACAGGTCATGTTGCTCAAACCATAAATTCCCTGAGCTTTTTGTGCTTTATATCCATTAAAAACTGCAATGTCATTTCAGAGGCGTGATCTGCGTCCGGACAGCGAATTGTGGGAAAGCTGGTTTGGCGTGAATCATGATATGCCGGATGATATTTTGGCTTTGACGTGGGGTTGGGATGCATTGCAAGTCTTCCTAGACTTGGCACTAGGCACCAGCTTGGTGCTGACATCAAAGCGTGTGGTCTTATGCGGCGAGATGATGCACTTTTTCGGTCTGTGCAGGTCTGCTGGCGCTGTGTTGAGCGCGCCCAGAACAGCAGCATGCGATGCGACTTCAACACGGTTGCGACAAATTCCAGTATGTTTTAAGCATCGTTGTAGAAGACACCGTCTCGCTGCAGACAACTGCGCAGGTTGGGGATGCCGTGCAGCCAAACTCACTTATTTCTCATGCAAACATTCAGGACAGCTGGTGGGGAAGCAGGCCCCCCCAAAAAAAAAACTGCTCCGCCAATGTGTTTAGAGCCAGTTGAGCTGATCTTGCCGAAGTGTCCAGGCAAGCCGCACACATGTGACACGTAAGACACGATCCTTTTTCTAGGCTTTTGAATGGAGAGCGGAAGCGGACGCACACATCGGTCATGTTCAGTATGAACCCCGATGTGCTTGATGGCATTTGCCGCGGTGTCTTGAAACTTTCAGCAATTTTGCAAAGGCGAAGTCAATGGAGTTGTTGTTTGTTCACCTGCAACATGTGCATATGTGTGTGTGTACACGCATGCGTGTGTATAGGGCAAAATTGACACACGTCATTCTGATTATTCTGTGCGGTGGATCGAATGTTGCAGTTGTCGAAAATTAAAACAATGTTTAAAGCCGCGTATCCGTGGTTCGCGAGAAACCCCTTGAAGTGTTTAGCGAGAAACGATATGTTCTCAGCCCAAATTATGGCCCCAGATATGTGATACACAGCAAGAACTTAAAAATCATTCATATATATATATATATATAGTCAAACCATTTTAAAGCTATATTGATATTAGTCATGGGCATATGTTCGTTGTGGGCGTGTATATATAGAAATACATGTGTGTATACATATATATATATATATACTGAATTGCTAGGCATTGTGTTTGGTAAGTATATTTCGAAAGACAAAATAGAACATTGAGTATTGGTGTGAATTGAGTTGATCATTTAAAAATTAATTATGTAGTTGACTCTCTCTAAAGTGTCTTTGACACTATGAATAAATAAAATTGCTGACCATGACCGACACAAGTTTCGAATGTGCCAACCAGTTGGAGGTTGACAACTTTTTGGGCGAGCATCAGGTAGCCCTGAACGGGCGGTTTGAAGCGACATGCCTGATTCTGTCAGAATGCCCAAACCGCCCCTTGTTGTTTGACCTTTTTGGAGCTTTTTTTTCAAAGGCAAAGCAAAGGAAAACCAAACCATTTGAGGAGGTGTCCATCACTTGAGTCATAATCAAAACCCGGTAGCAAAATGGTCTACCCAGAACCATGTAAAGAGCTAAGAAGGCGGCGGCAACTATTTCTGGCTGGGACTGCCCCTTACTAACCTAACCATCTACCTGGGTTTTGATGGCTCAATTGGAACACCCATTGCGCATCTCTTCTTCGCTTTCGGTCAGATTTCCCACCAGCAGCAGTCCGTCGAGGACTTCGCGCAGGTCCAAGGGTAATGGGCACTCTGCCACAAAGTCCTCGCCGGTTGGGCGATACCCCCGTTGCTTCACGTAGCACCTACTGCACGAACAACCTCCGTTTGATGTTCCTTTAAAGGGGGCTGGAGGATGTTTCAACATCTTTTGCCCTAGTCCTCGCCCATCAGATCGCGCAAGGCGATCCGCCGACAGTGCAAAAACAGCCGTTGGCAGGGCAGCAAGCTGCGCTGCCGCACGCCTGGGCGCCGTCACATGACACCCGACTGAAGCCAATGGTCCCCTTGATGCCAAGCGGAAAGCCAAAATGCTAAGCTCAGAAAGGTTTCATATAGCCCACTCGTATGCAAATGCCATGGGCCCTGGAAACCCAGGAATGGCTTTGGGGATGCAGCTAGGCGCCCTACACGTAAGTCCTGATTACAACCTTGCAGGTTTTTGGGGCACGTTACAGCGCACCCAGTTGAGCTGATTTGGAAAGGCGTGAAAAGCCGCGGTGGCAATGCGACTTGCAGCACCCTTCTCATTTCGGCCGAAAGTGCCGTAGGTCAGGTCACCCACCAGCGGCGTTCCCAGGCCTAAGGGTGTGCCAGTGGCTGTCTGTGTGTGTGTGTGCGCGCATGTGAGAGAGAGAGAGAGAGACTGCGCCAATGGATACAGCAGCAGCTGTCACATGGAAATGCAGGAAGCATCAAGTTGGGTTACCCTCCTTTTGGTGGACTTTAAAAACAAACAAGAAACATAGAAAAAAAGAGAGAGAGAGAGAGAGAGAGAGCGAACAAAGAGAGGGAGAGGGAGGACGCTCATGCACCGCCACACGCAACCCTAACAAACCGCTGACTTGAATCCTTTGCACATGACGGGCTCCTAAAGCTGAATCGGTACCTTTCTTGGGAAGTGATTTTGGGAGAAGCCCAACAGAACGCCGCCTTCGTCCAGAAAAGACCTACCTCTCGCTGCTTCCAGGCGATTTGCCAACCCCACATCCACTGATGGGCACGAGCCAGTGGAGACACCACATGAACCCCGTATAGACCCATAAACCCATAAACTCCTGGAATGAATCCTGACCCTCCATAAACCCCTGGGTTTCTAGGAGACGCCAATGGAGACACCCCAAAAAAACACCACGTCCCACCTGGGTTTCCGCCTTGCAGCCCAGGCTCTGGCAAAGTGCACCCTGATCTGGTGCGTGCGCCCCGTGAGCGGGCGAGCCAACATCAGCATCAGCTCCCCGGAACCGGAAATGAGGGATGGCGGGCGATATCTGGCGAGGACCTGCCCGGTTTGGCGCGAGCGACAAGAAGTGCTCGTTTTGTTGCTGGTGTCAAGAAAAGCGGAGGAAACCCACAAGAAAAATTCCAAAACAGCCAAAGGCGTGAAGGTATTTGATAAAAGTCGGGCAAAAAACAAAATCATCCCCCCCCCCCCGCGGCGTTTTCCTCCCAGCCTCATACTTGGTGCAAGCATACCTCCCCTGCTCCGACACCTCCGTCCTGCGTGGGAATGCTCACGACCACCCTCCCCCCAACGGAAGCCGACGAAGATGTCCCTTTGAGAACTCGTGTCCACGATTGTTAGACTAAGGCGAGTTTACCACTTTCAAGAGGACCATCCAGTGGATTATGGGGCAAAGAGAGCACCCTGTGTTTGGTTCACTTCAAAGGAAAGCGCACCAAGACATGCCACTCTGCAGGTCTCGATCCAATCCCGACACCGCATGGCCACAAGAAACTGGCACTCAAGGAGTGAAACCAAAACCAAACCATCAACCCCCCAGCCCCCTCCCCCGCCAGCCTAACCATGCAACCAAAAACCATATAAGTATTACAACCCCCCCCCCCCCCGCCAAAAAAGATATGTACATATGTGTATATATTCTTAAAAAAAAAAAAAGGAAAAAAAAAGAGAAAAACAAGCGGCATGCGCGTCCTGCTGAACTGCCTCTCCAGCTCCTCAAGCTCCTGGGTCTCCAGCGCGCAGTCGATGGCGCCCTCTGTGCCCACGGGCCCCAAGGGCCGGCCCTCGCAGAGGCAGAGGTACTCCTGGCGTTCCAATGGGGAAATCCGCGGCCAAAGTGCAAAATGTTCCAAATGCGAAATCGTGCAAAAACCGGGTCCTATCAGAATTGGGAGAAAATCGAAAAACGTTCACTTTCACGGTCCAGTCTGGATGTTCGAGAAGCTTCGGAAGCTTCACTTTTGGAACTCCATTCTGGATACATCCAGAAAAACTCCCCCTGCTTCACAAGAAAAACCTCCCAAATGAGGCAAACCCCAAACAGCCCTGAGGGATTCTGGCTCTTTCGGGGCATCTTTCCCGCGGTGAGATGCATTGCTGGAGCCTGGGCTTTTTCCGGCGTCAAACCGCTCTCCGCACCTTCTGGACCAGGCGCGCAGCGAATTGGCACTGAAGCCAGCGCGCTGGCAGGGAGCCCTCAGTGGTCCCATGGGTGTTGGTCTCAAAGGAACTGAAACGAGTTGATCCAGGGATCTTGGAACTGAAGTCCGCAGAGAAATCCCCCCCCGGAAGGAAAAACTACTGGCTTTCTTTTGGCTCAGGCCCGAGCTTCCGCAGGCTTGGGCAAAAAGGCTTGCTGGTTCTCGGCAGGGAGTGAGAAATGGAACGACCCAAAACAAACAAAACCATCTCCTTGAATCATTGAAGAGACTCAATCCCCTTCCGGTTCACTCCCAACACCTGCCTCGGGGCCCAGAGGCAGCGGCAGCACGCCGCTGGTGGGATAATCCAAGCGCGACACCAGGCAGCAGCCTCCTCAACCGGATTCGGGACCAACAAAAAATACGAAGACGAGGCCATCCAAACAAAACATCCAGGCAAGATCCTCTCTTTTTGTGGTTTGAAAGGGAGACCAAACGGAAAACCACCAGTTTGTGTGGATTGTGTGGGCCCCGAAAAACACAAGAAACATCGAGCAAACAACTTAAAACGTTCCACGCCAACACCACAGAAAAGGTTTCGACAAAGCCAACAGAGCAGCAATGTGCAAGCGAGCATCAAACATGGCTTCTTGTCAGAAGCCACGTTGCAAACACGAGGTGGCATGAATTCACCAAACCCATTTTCAGCTGAGTCTGACTTTCAATTAGAGTCCCAAGGCCACGTTTTACATTCGATAATGTTTGCCTACACAGCTTCCCCAACCTGGCCCCCTGGCCATAAAAAAGATAGCCCTTGGAACAACATGTCCTATCTACAACAGTGGAACCCATCTATTTCTACCCGAACGAACAGATCAAAAAGACCCTCCTCCCCCTCCCCTCCCGCCCCCCCTCCCCCCCTCTCCCCCTGCGCTGGGCGCCATGAAACGAATCGCTCCTGACACCAAAGCGCTGAACTTCCTCGCCAGGTCCTCCGTCCGCAGCCCCGACACCTTGGACAGCGCCACCACCCCGGCGCCCCGTTGGATCACCTGGCTATCGCTGGGCTGTCCCAGTCTTCCCAGGGGCACTTTGATTTCAAACGAATTTTGCTTATTACATGCTTCTGTTGTTGATGTATATGAATCCATCAAATTCGATTCAATTGAAAACATGTTAAAACGTGCTTCTCTCTCTCTCACAAACATAGACGGGCTCACATGTTTCAAGCTGTGGCATGTGCAACTCAATGCTTCGATCTTCCTCGCCTCAGCGTCCGGAACTTGATCTTCGGGGCAAACGCCGTCCTCGTTCCACACGCCGCGGACGCTGTTGAGAACGTCCTCAGTCGCTCGAAGGCTCCCATGCCGCAAGCGCGGCAAGATGCGACGAAACGCGGCAAGAAGCTGGAGGCGCTTTCTCCAGGGCAAGCAGGGAACCAAAACACACAGCAAGCTCTGCCAATGCACAGTGCCAACCGCAGTTCAACCTCAGCTTTCCCATCGGATCGCCTGAGGACTCGAGCCAGAACCTCTTGAGGATTCAGGATGCATAGAGGTACTGTGGACATCAAGCACATCCAACCAGAAAGCCCGAGTGAACGCGAAATTGCGGCGCTTGCCTTCTTTCTTTTTGCTTGCAATGTGTGGGTATGTCTTTCAAACGAGGGAGGCTGCCAAACCTCAACAAAAAGTGAACCGGCGTCGCGCATCCGCAACTGGTACCCCACCAAGGGCAACCACCCAGTTCAACCCTTCCGAAGGCGAACCATGTATCCCATTGAACTCGCCCCACACCCAGTACCCTTGCAACTATGACAATTTTAGGTGTTTCTGAATTATGTTTTCCGCGATTTTGCTTGTGTCCCTTCATCACGATCCCAAAAAGGGGTCCGAATCCCATTTGGGTGGTTTTCAAGGTGAAACCAACAGGAAGCCAACCAAATCTTGAAGCCTCCGATTCCCATGTCGAGACAAGCTCGGAAGCTCCCAGAAGGCCTCGCTAAATGGCAAACACGTCGGGAGCTTCCATGGAATCGTCTGGGGGAGGGCAAAACGCCAACAAATGGCGGTTCTACGCCAACAAATGGTTGCTTTCCTATGTTTTTTCCCCCCACGATTTCGGTCATGTTGTCTTTGGACCTTTGTGTGTGTGTCCTTTTTTGTTCTGTTTTCTCGGGAAAAAACCCGCCCAAGAACCGGGACTCAGCGCCCGGATCAGCGGCCAAAGGCGCCCAGGCGGCTTCGGCTCCGCAGGCCTCTCGCAGCGCGCTGGCCGTGCTCCCTGCCACCCAGGGGTCCGGAGTCAGCTGCAGAGTCCTCACCAAAGGCCATGGGTTGCTGCCTACGGAGGGGGGGGTTGGTTGGCTTGGGTTGGTTGGTTTAGGTGGGTTGGGTTCGTTTGACGGGGGGGGTTTTGGTTTGAGGGGCTCCCTGAAGGGGAGCTTTGGGCTTTGTTCAGGGGTGCCTGATTGAGGTTTTGGGTTTTTGGGTCCTGAAAAGGAGGGGGGTGTTGGAGGGTTCCATACATACAGTAGGTTTTTTGTTTTTCCAGCGTGGGCCGTTTCTTGTGACCCTTTCTTGGGGTTCCATGTTGGTGCGTAGATTCAACCTCAGGGTTGGTGTCCATGTTTAAAGCACCGGCTTCGCAAAGTCCCTTTGGATTGCCTAAGGGAGTCATCTGGTTGTAAACCCTGCATAGTGAAAGCCGCTGACGGAAACCGGTCCAAACCTGTCCAAATGCTCAATGTTCCGCCGTGAACCAAAAAAAAGCCTTTGCCAAAGGAAAACAAAGTTTGCCAAGTTGGGATTCGGGCCGTCACGGAATCTGAGCTTATTTAGGGTAGGTCTTGATTGGGGGTTCATTCCCAATCCTGGACATGGGATTTGCGCATCGCGAACCCGAAGATGACGCTTGCGAATCCCGAAAAAGGCCATGCTCAGGAATTGCGAAGCCCGAATCTCCATCCCCTCAAGTTGAGATTCTGGCTCGAAGTTGGGATTTGGGTGTCAAATCACGGATCGCTTTGGATTGGGATTCGCGAATCCCGATTTGGGATTGGAGTCACAAATCCCAAAGGCTACATCCACCCCCATCGCCACTCCCTTGTCCTGTAACCACAATCTGTCATGTGTGCCAAGCAGACAGGAATTCTTAAAAAGGCAGCGTCAACTTCAAATTACTCCTGAGAACAGTACTCATCAGAAGTAGCCAAGGTTGGACCAAATTGATAAATCTGCTTGGAGTCTCTGGGCGTGTGGTTCTTAAGGTTGGACCCCCAAAATGGCTTCAGTCTTCCTGTTGAATTCCCCTTCAAACAAACCCAAAGAATGTACCCCTAAAAAACAGACCCCTATGACCTCTTAAAACGGGGTGGCGGGGCGGTCATGTAGCCATGATTCTGGGGCAAGTTGCCTTGAGTGAGGACACGAGGTCGTGCTTGCATTTTGGGGGTTTGGGAGGTGCGCCTTTGCCTAACTCGTCACCATGGAGACTCCAAATAACCAATCTAGGCTGAGCCAAGTAGATAAGAAATCGTCTCCTCTGGGTGCCTCCGCCGCCTTTTTTTGAATCTTGAAGCATGTGTCTGGGAGTACGAGACCCATCTTTGATACCAGGGGTCTTCATTCCTCACGTCTTTTGGCCATGGGGTCAAAATTAAACCAGCAGAGAAACCCCAGGTTTTAGTCCATGTTTCCATTTAAAAATTTATCAGGGCAACCCATTTTGGGGTTGACCCTACTTTTGACTCGCCCCATTCGGACGAGTCTCAGCATGTTCTCCAGCATCGCCAGCGCGCTGGCCCACGCCCCCTGCTCGCTGCACACCGCCACGGCTGCCCCGAAGTTTGCTGCGCTCGGCACCACCTAGCCCAGAGGTCAACCCCCCCAAAAAAAAAACTCCCCAAAAAACACGCGCCAAGATGGTCGGTGTCTCTGATCTTTATGTGTTCACCCTTGGTACTGTGGATCGAGATCCAGACATCGCACCACCGCACTCGGAAAACCCTGGTTTCTGATATTCGATTCAACGTAAATACCAACAAACCTCACGGTTTCAATGGTTTCACTTTGCGGTGCAGGTGGCTTCCCTTGGCTCGGAGTGGAGTCATGTCCTGATCCTGGGGAATCTGTGGAGGGTGATTCCTGGAGAAGCCTGAAACCTACTTGAAACAATACCTCAGCCCCACAAAATGTCCGTGCCAGAAAAACAGATTCAAGATTCCTCGCAGGAGTTCCCACCTATTCACCTGGAACCTGACGTACTGGACCCGGTCCCTTGACAAGGAAAATGGCCCAAACCAGGACCCCCGAACTTCGAACGGTTCTGTAAAGGGTGGGAGGGTAGTTGGCAACCTTGAATCCAGGCAACGGAAACTCAACTCCGAAGAGCTGACGCTTGAGATTTCGCGCTGGGTGTAGAACAGGCCTCTACCAAAAAAAAGGAAATGCCGAGCCCCTGTTGTTTCCCATTTGCGGATGTAACAAGCATAGCACCAAGCGCGAATTCCTGCAAACATTTGCCAAAGAATCGAGATGTACAAGCTTTCAGATGCGCTACAAGAGTGACTGGGTGGCAGTTGGGAGTCGGCGCTGGTTTAATTACGGGTGCTTTTAGGCTGGCTTAGAACTTACTGCGGGCAGGTCTTGGGTTGGTTTGGGGTTCATATAGGCTCAGGAAAGGGCTGACATCCGTACAGTAGGGTGGGGGGTTGAGGGTGGGTTTCAGGGTGGGGGTTAGGGTAATTGCCACATCCAGTCATACCAGAGTGAAAGCAAACGGAGCAGTTCCCTTTATGTGGCCACGTCGAGCTGGTCAAACCAAACTGAGCCAACTGGGCCATTTCGATCAGTACCAGCAAACCCCAAACCCTTCTGGAGTCCCTTTCATCCCACTTGAAACTGGGGTCACCTCAGCGGTCCCATGTGAGCCATGGGCTTCGGGGAGACTGACATCGTTTTTCGAGGTTCCGGAGGCATTTCAAGTTGGAAACCCGACGGAAGCTAATGGATGACCCCAGATGAAGCCTGTGGATTTTGGGGGCGTCCCATTGTTTAGTGAAAGTTCTCATCACTAATAATTGTATTTATCTAGGGGTTGATTCATCCAATTAGTTCGAGGACCCGCGGCCTCACTTCTTTCTGTTTGCCACTTGAATGATCCAAACCCAATTTTTGGTTGTCCATGAACTCAGGGAGTGAGCCGCACGCCCGGCCTTGGACGCGACAACGTCCGCGAAGACGAGCAGCGCCAGCTGCCAGTTCCCTTTGCAGGCGCTCATGGCCACAGTGCAGCTCACCTCATCACCCTTCCGGCGGCTCGTCATCTCCTACGATGCACGCGGAGCGTTTCGACCCAACATGCTTTGAGCATTTTCAGCTTCCCTCCGATCGGTTGATTGGTGGTTTGGATTTGTGGTTTGGTGGTGGGTTTGCCTGGTACAAACAATGGGTGTCGCTGGTAAATGGGGCACAAAACCAATCTAAACCAGTGCTATTCAGCTTCTCTCAGATTGGTGGTTTGGATTGCTGGTTGGTGGTCAAGGAGGGGTTTCCCATTTACCCTCTAAAGCCAGGAGTTTCGGCAGAGCATCTGGCACTCGATGCGGTGCGCAACTTAAATCTACCCTGAACGGTGTTGCTTCCTTACAGCCTGCAAACTGAGTGTTCTCTGCAAGCCATCGCGTTTTGGATTCCATATGGCTCGGCATGGGAAAAAGTTGGGTTGTCCCCGCATGTCCTGCCCAAGCCAACAGACTGGCAATGGGTCGCCAAGCTGCTGCTTTTTTCCAGACATTTTACCCTCAAAAACAGCCACAGTTGCAGCAACTGGAGAATCGGAGGCTTGAGGATGTGATCATATTTGGTGAACCCTAAAATGCAAAATAATGTCAAGAGAAAATCCCAGCGTACGGTTGCTTAGCATGTTAACGAAATGGGTGGTCTCCTTTTGTCTTCCCCCCCCCCCAAAAAAAAAAAAAAAACACCCTGAAAAGGGGAACCCCAAAAACAAACACAAAAACACTTTTTAGTCACATCCGTGGACTAGGAGGGTTCACACGCACATGAACGCATTGGCACCAAACAGTGCTCCTCCAGCAGCAGAAGGCTCTCTTGCCAGTGGCTGGCACGCTCGCAAGCGCTCATGGCCGCGCACCAGCAGGCCGGGTCCATCCCGCCGCCCATGGCCTCGGCCGATGACTCGCCACGTCGGCCTCGCCATTTTGCCTCCCACATGGCACCTGGGTCAAAAATAGGTACCCCAAAAAAAAAACCTAGTAAGACATGGACCAAAACCTGCGGTCCCCTGCTGGCTTAATTTTGACCCATACCCACATGGCACCTGACAGGGCGTCCGTTTCAAGCGGAAGTTGAGGTTCCACCCCACAGGCGCGATTTGTTCGTGGGGGGAAGGGTGCAATGGCGGGCGAACAGGATGGAGAAAGCCGGCACCATCGTTGCGCGAGAGCAAACTTGACACCAGAGTTTGTCAGTCCCCACATTCGCCCGACATCAATTTTCCAGCAAGGCTCAGAGCAAGGCTCCAAAATGTTGTGCCTAATCTGAAGGTGAATAAAATACGTAACCCATCGGTACCCCAATTCAAAATGGAATACACGTGCGTGTGTGTTGGTGTCCTTTTTCTGGTTGGTTTAAACGGAAACCTGAAAGAGAAAACCACCCTTTTGGGCTGCTGCCCCAATTTGCCACCAACCACGGCCAAGCTTTCCTCGAAGAAGTTTCATGCGGCGCCGAGCGTCCGTCAGGCAGGCCAGGCTCTGAGTCCACTGTGACCCCTCTGCCAAGGCCGAGATCACCGCGCCAGAGGTCACCTGAGGCTCTGAGCGCCCCGTTGTGGCGCCGAAACCCGGGTGGATGTGGGCTGAACAAGGTTCACAGGGCGGTTCTCGAAAAATCGGGGGACCCCATGGCTGGTTTCCTGTTTCTCCCCTTTTAGTTTCCCTTATCCACGGTTAGAATGGAAAAATGTGTGCTTCATAGGGATGTGAAGCCTCATGCTGGCCTTCCGTTGGGCTTCCATGAGAGTTGTTCGCCTTTCAACACCCGGCGTTTGGCTTCCCCTATTCCGCTACCAGAAAAGGGAACCAAAGAATAGGGCTACAAAAATCCCCAAGCCAGGCAGAAGCCCCTTGCCATGGCCGTAAGCTGCTGGGGGTCGGATGGGCCCCGGGGCTGTTAAGATAATTTTCGGAGTCTAAGACCATCCCCAGGGAAAAAGGTGCTTGTCCCTTTTTAGGATTCGCACCCCCCCGACATGGGTTTTCCTTTTGATTTCCCGTTGAAACCAACCAACCAGAGGTTCCCTCTAACAAAGACCCACCCAAATCTTTGCAGTGGTTGTACATCCCTCCAAACTGGACGCAGCGACGCGGTAACGCGCCGGCTCACGGTATCTTGCTCCAGCTTCAACGACCCCATGGAGCTCGCCAGACCCAGCGCCCGCTGCCACTCCCGGGCCTGCGGTTTTGGGGTTCTTCGGGCGGAGACACGGCGAACCAAACGGGACAGTGAGGCGATGGGTGGAAACCATAGATCAAAGACAAGGGCGGTAGCTTGAACCCTCTGGCAGCTGTATCAAATTCCCCGTTGGATATACAGATTTATGTGTAAAAAATACATCTCCCCTTTGATTCTTGCCAACCACAAGGAGGCTCGCTTGCTTCGTTCGGCCCCTAATGTTTGAATCACCAAGCGGGAATATGAGGGGACCCCGGAACCAAGCGCCAAGAGCAAAGCGCTTCGCAGGCTCACCAAACCGCAGGGAGCGCATTTTCAGATGGCCCGAAAGGTAACGTGTGAATTGCACAAGGGAAATAGCAGCTCCATGTGGGCCTAAGTTTCAATCGAGGACCCTGTGGACATCATTTAGGTGGGGATTCATGTCCACCACTTTTGAGGTGGTTCCCTAGTAAAGTTCACAGCCATATCTGACTGCCTTGGAGAAATCGCAGCCATGAGTTGCACACCGCATCCACGGCTTAACGGGCCGCGCCTTGCCGCAGGCGGAAACGGCCGCGTTGCAAAAGACCACGCTGGGCGTGAGGTTCGCCGAGGCCAAGTGGTCGAAGTGCCGCAGGGCGTTGACCCAGTCGCCGCATTTCTCGCAGGCCGACACCGCCGAGCTGTGGGAGATGATGTTCGGAATGCATCGATGGCCTGCCACGCTGCGCGGCGCCCGACTTTTTTCTTTTTCCAGCGGTTTGAAAGAGAAACAAGGGGGGGTGTCTCCAACCTCAGTGGGATAGCCTGAATGCATTGGTCTCCAAAACCCCAAACCCAGGCCTTTCATGGAGGCCAAAACGGCCGTGGCTTGCTGCCACTCGCCGGCACTGGCGCACGCCGCGATGGCCGCGTTGAAGGTGACGACGTTGCGCTGAACTGAGAGATCCTGGAAAAGCGCGCGTGGGCCGAAAAAGGCTTTCAAGGCTTTGTCTGCGTCCTCAGTCTTCCATCGCACTCCCTTCTCGTTGCTCAAGTGTCTCTTGCCTTCGCATACTTGGCCTTTGCATACCTGTGCCAAGAAAGCGCGACTTCGGTCCTCCATGCCGTCCAGCCTCGGAGCACGTGAGGCAACGAACGCCTCGCAACCAAACAGCCAGCCAACCCGCCCGCCGACCTGCCAACCATCCACCTACAAAAGCACCCGCGTTATTCACGGGGTCCCCAAGCAAAACCTCCGTTTCCTGAAGTCCCCTGGAAACATTAGAAACATGTCCAGCGAAATCAACTCCCTTTAAAAACCAACAGCTGGGGAAAATTGGAGAAACAACATTTTCTGCAACTGCAAGGAACAAAGAAACAAACAAAAATCGGCCGGTTGAGTCGCAGCACATGGGGTCCAAACAGAAAAAACCGTCCGCCGGCTGCGTCGCATCCGAAAACCCGGGCCGGAGCCGAGGTGCAGCGCCAGGGCGACGCGCCACGCCTTCTCGCAGGCGCTGATGGCCGAGCCAAAGGACACCACGTTGGGCGCCAGCCCTGCCGAGTGACATCGATGCGCCTATCACTTTAGGGTATTGGCCGCTCACAGAGTGTAACCTGGGCGGTGAGTCAAAAATGTGGCTTGAGGGAATGCTCCCTGCTGGTTCGGGCATCGGAGTCGCCCATAGACATATGCGGTTCTCCTAAGGTACATGGGCAAATTGGGTTACCATAGACAAACTTGACCCCGAACTTTTCGCAATTCCCCCCAAAGTGATCCGATCTTCGAAATGGTACGCGTTCCCCTACGTATTCTCACATCAGTTCCCATGGAAGTCGACTCTAAACGTTACTGTGGAATTGTTCCCACAAGCCCATAAAGGGGCTTGCCTCAACTCCAACAACAAACCGCTCCAGAGAGTACGACGGCAACCAGCGTCGGTCGATTTATTTTTCACCGCACTGCCTCAAGTGGGTGGGATCGTACCTGTTGGTCGATCTGCTTCAATCTCTGGAGTCGGTGTGCGTGTCTCTCAGACACCACTGACTCGAAAGTAAAGTACAACAAAATAAAAGGTAAGCAAATGCAAGTGCATGCAAACCCAAAATGTTGTACAGCAGAGTTTCGAAGAGGGAGTGGACGTTCTCCCGTCCTCTCACTCGATGCTATAAATGCAGACCGACAGGTACTGAGGGCATGCAGTGAAAACTGGTGAGGGTGGGTGGGAAAGAAAAATTTGGCTAATTCGCCAAAATGGCGAACGGAGCATGAATCAAGCAGTGTCATCCTGCAGGCACTCAAGGTTCGAATCTGAGTGTGATTCAAATGCCTTCCGCTATCGGTTGTTACTTTTAACACAAGTGTTAACCGCAACAACAAACCGCTCCAGAGAGTACGACGGCAACCAGCGTCGGTCGATTTATTTTCACCGCACTGCCTCAAGTGGGTGGGATCGTACCTGTTGGTCGATCTGTTTCAATCTCTGGAGTCGGTGTGCGTGTCTCTCAGACACCACTGACTCGAAAGTAAAGTACAACAAAATAAAAGGTAAGCAAATGCAAGTGCATGCAAACCCAAAATGTTGTACAGCAGAGTTTCGAAGAGGGAGTGGACGTTCTCCCGTCGTAGGTCAACTCCCGTCGAAGGTGAAGCCGAAGGCGAACGACCTAGACAAAAGGCACGTTGAAGGCATCCTTACATCGATCAAGTCTCCTTACTGTGGACAAGATTCTCACGGGACGTGGAAGTCAAGTCGGGTTCAGGAGGAATGATTCCTGTGGAACTGTTGGAGTTCCTTTATGTCGTCAAATCCGACGGCATGGGCGAACTGAATATCGCCAATGATTTTGCACGTCCGTTTATGTAGAGCGTGCATGGGGGGTTCCAGAATCTGCCAGTGGTGCTTCGAGGCAAGGGACATGTCATGTCGACTGAAGGGGTCGGCTATATTAGCATGTGTGGGCACACGGGCAATATGCAACTGCAATTGCTGGCGGTTGTGCCATGTCCAATGTGCACCGAGCAGGCAGTTTAGTGGTTGGTGTTTCCCAACTCCCCGTCTGATGGCGTGTTTGGCCGCTTCGTTGTCACACAACTGGAGGTATGTGTCAGTGATCCATGGTCGAAAGATCACAGGAGCGATCAACGCGGCCCATGCCTCGAGGAAATAAATGGCGTTGGTGCCAGTACTCACTTGTTGGAGTAAGTTGGGGGGTAGTGCGCCCGAGACCACGCGGGTCCTTTGTGCCTGTGGGCTGAACAGCACCGCTGCCCATCCGTTGTCGTGCGACCAATCGGTTGGCAGACAATCCTGATCCCCTGCGTCCTTGACACGCCAGACCGTCTCGCCCTGCCGGCAGAACGCGTCGGTGTATATGATTGAAAGGTCTCTGGGCCTGGTGGACAGTGGGACGCTGCGGGGTGAGCTATGTTGCAGGATATTCAGGAGGCACAGAATGGCAGCTCGAGTTGGTTTGTCGATCCGGTCGGAAGTGCTGTGTGCTTTGTGGTATAGGGCGGCTAACGCCGATCGCCCTACTCGACCGAACAGGTGTCCGGTGACAAAGTTGCACTTGCCGGCAGTGCGTCGGGCGGTGTCGTTCGACATACCTCCCTGTTCGAGACACTGAGACAGGGTGTGTGACAGTGTACGGACTCGGTCTGGGCACGGTCGAAGGGTTGCGTGTGTTGCCGACAGGTCGACATAAACCCCTTGTATTTTGTGAGAGGGCGCCGGTGGTTGTTCCTTGGATGTCTTCATATGAAATCCAAGTAGTGAGTTGAGCTTGCTGAATGAGGAGAAGGAACTGGTCGCGATGTGACTGGGTTGTATGGCCCCGTAGTCGTCAACGTAGTGCAGGGCAGGTGTGAGTGTTAGTACGCGGGCGAGTGCTGTGAGTGCATCGCCGAAGCGGTTGTAGCCCCAGACGCTGGCAGCGGAGCCGAACAGGAGCACGTGGTGGTGCCAGAGAGTTGGGCCGTCGGGTGTGATGAGTAGCACGTATGCTACCTCCGGTTGTGCGAGGGGCAGTTGACGGTAGGCGCCGTCGTGGTCGTGTCCCCACACATGTAGCGGGTGTGCGTCGTCGTGATATTGTCTCGCACATTGGATGTAGTGGTCGGGTGTGTGATGGTAGGGTTGATCGTGCATAGAGCACGTCTGGTTGTGGCCGCTGCGGCGCCAGTCTTCTCCTCTCCGGACTTTGGGTTTTCCATCCGATCCGGTCTGTTGTATGCTGAATGCGACTGCCACAATGGGATCGCGATGTGGGATAGGAAGGAGCCGGCTGGTGTGGGGGAAAAGGTGCAGGGGTACTGTGCGAGAGGTCCAATGAGTCGGTGCCTCGAAGGGGCCGGCCATACGTCCCTGGGCCACTTCCCCCGCGATTTCGGTGGCCATAAGAGTCCAGTGGTCGTCGATCTTGTGTTGTTGTAATTTGCGCTGGATGTAGGCTTTGTTGAATGACCTGAGTTCTGCAAGGTCACATGGGTCCAGGTATTTGTGGTCGTGGCGAATGTGCCAATTGACGCCGGGTCGCAGAGGCCCCAGGAGGTCGAAGCCTAGAGAGAGTTCCTCGTGCAGGAGTTGTGCCTGTGGGTAGTTAAGCAAATGTAGCAAGTGTGTCATGAGTGGTACCTGAGTGATCATCTTCGGTTGTCGATAGGCTCGCTGGCAGTGTGGGGGCAGCTGTTCGAACCATGCAAGTGTATCTGTAGTCAGGTCATCGCGAAGGTCCGCGATGTCGAGTAACACGTTGTGCTGTAGTTGTGGCAGTTGTGGTATGGTCCTTTGCATTGCGATGGCCCACAAAATGGTCGGGTCGCAGTGCTGGGGCTGTTGCAGCGAGGTAGCGTGGTGTTTGGCCCAGGTCAAGTGGTCCTGCCAGTCGTTCTGTGGCATATGTAGCGTTTCCGATGCTCTCGGAGGTGGTCCCCATGGTCGTGGGTTGTGAAGCCAGAGGTCGACCATCATTCCGAGGGATCCGCGACGTACCCGCTGCGTGGGCGGGGGAATTCCGAAGGCTGGCTGTAGTAGCAAAAGGAATAGGATCCACATGGCTGTGGGCACATGCCAGGAGTTCCCCAGCATGGTGTTCCTGGTCCGGTCGGTGTTGTGTGGTCCCGTCCAGCCGCGCGGGAATCCCATCATTGCTTCGCGGTGCTCGGGTGTTGCGACTTGCCAGTCGTGTCCGTGTTTCCGGACCAGGTATTTCTGTTGGTATTGCCACGGGGCGAATTGTTTGTGGTCGGCTTGCCACCGTTGCCATGTGTCGTCTGGTAGTTGTTGGCTGCGTGGTGGTGGGCGGCCTTCGTCCGTACTGGCCTGGGTGGTAAGGCAGTGGAAGAGTTGTCCGTGTGTTAGGACACTCGGCGGGTCGAAGTCCCGGATGTGACAGTCTGGTTGTAGTTCGGCTGCAATGGGATTGAAGAGCACCGGTGGGAACAGCTGAGTGTCGAGGGAGAGTTGCCAAGGTGTATGCCTGCTCAATGTGGCAGGCAAGGATTCCCAATCGACCGAGGCCCACCAGATTCTGGGACGAGAGATGATTTGGCCGTCGGCCGCGTCGATCAGGACTGGGCGTAGGCCCATGGAGTGGGACAGCTGGTCGAAGTCGTCGCGTACCTCGGGGTGAGGCACGACATTCTCTAGCAGGGTGAGCGATTGATGTGGCCATCTGTTCTGAATGTCGTCGCGGATGGAGAGTGCGGTGTCGAAGAGGCTGCCCTGTGAGCCGGCCCGGCCCGGTTGGTGTTGTTTAATGTTGGAGTAGTCCTTGCACGGTGGGCCACCGGTGAAGAGGATAATGTGTCTCTCGTGATTGGGTATGTCCTGGATGATCGCAGCCAGTTGTTCGATGTCAAAATCTTCTACGGCGCCCATGTGCGTCGTGGGGAAGAGTGAATGAGGTAGCTGATTGCAGGACTGATCGGTTTCCCACCGGAAACAGTGGGAGACGTTGGCGCCCAGTTGGTGCAGGGCAAGTGACACTGTGCCGATCCCGTCGAAAACTGAGATCAGGATAATGGGCGTGTGTTGTATGAGTTGTCTGGTAAGATGGAGGCAACGCGCCGGGTCGGCTCCAGGGGACTGGTCCCCTGGGCCGTGCTGTCCCTAACGCGCCTTGTTCTTCCCGTGGGATTTGGTGCCTTTCTTGCCTTTCCCGGACCCCTTCTTTCCTTTGGGTGTGTCGCCCTTGAACGAGGGTCCTGGGGTTGTAGGCATCGAGGGGATGGCGGGGTTGGCGAATTGGGTTGGTCCCCAGGTCGCGTATGGCTGGTTGTTGTATGGGTACGAAGTGGTCTGGTACCCTTTGTTGCCCCAGGTGTGCTTGCCTCTGCCCTTGGGTTGCCGATACTGGTTACTGTTGTTCTGTGGACGTCGGGTCTCTGTCCGTGGTTGTTTCTTGGCTGGTTGCGAAAGGATGTCGTTCATCGTGGTCGTGTCGGCCAGTAGTTCCTTGGTAGCTTTGCTGAAGGTGGCCCCCGACCGCATCTTCATGGCCAGTTGCCATGTGAAGGTTTCCCAGGAGTCTTTGACTTGGAGCAAGCGCTGCTG